TACACCTGCTGTCACTGTTCACCTAGCAGTAAGTAGGTACCTGGGTGTTAGTTACCTTACACCTGCTGTCAGTGTTCACCTAGCAGCAAGTAGGCACCTGGATGTTAGTTACCTTACACATGCTGTCAGTGTTCACCTAGCAGTAAGTAGGTACCTGGATGTTAGTTACAGTATACCTGCTGTCAGTGTTCACCTAGCAGTAAGTAGGTACCTGCGTGTTAGTTACCTTACACCTGCTGTCAGTGTTCACCTAGTAGTAAGTAGGTACCTGGGTATTAGTTACCTTACACCTGTTGTCAGTGTTCACCTAGCAGTAAGTAGGTACCTGGATGTTAGTTGCTGTATACCTGCTGTCAGTGTTCACCTAACAGTAAGCAGGTACCTGGGTGTTAGTTACCGTATACCTGCTGTCAGTGTTCACCTAACAGTAAGTAGGTACCTGGATGTTAGTTACCGTATACCTGCTGTCAGTGTTCACCTAGCAGTAAGCAGGTACCTGGGTGTTAACACCTGCTGTCAGTGTTCACCTAGCAGTAAGTAGGTACCTGGGTGTTAGTCACCTTACACCTGCTGTCAGTGTTCACCTAGCAGTAAGTAGATACCTAGGTGTTAGTTACCTTACACCTGCTGTCAGTGTTCACCTAGCAGTAAGTAGGTACCTGGATGTTAGTTACCGTATACCTGCTGTCAGTGTTCACCTAGCAGTAGGTAGGTACCTGGATGTTAGTTACCTTACACCTGCTGTCAGTGTTCACCTAGCAGTAAGTAGGTACCTGGATGTTAGTTACCGTATACCTGCTGTCAGTGTTCACCTAGCAGTAAGTAGGTACCTGGATGTTAGTTACCGTATACCTGCTGTCAGTGTTCACCTAGCAGTAAGTAGGTACCTGGGTGTTAGTTACCGTATACCTGCTGTCAGTGTTCACATAGCAGTAAGTAGGTACCTGGATGTTAGTTACCGTATACCTGCTGTCAGTGCTCACCTAGCAGTAAGCAGGTACCTGGGTGTTAGTTACCTTACACCTGCTGTCAGTGTTCACCTAGCAGTAAGTAGGTACCTGGATGTTAGTTACCGTATACCTGCTGTCAGTGCTCACCTAGCAGTAAGCAGGTACCTGGGTGTTAGTTACCTTACACCTGCTGTCAGTGTTCACCTAGCAGTAAGTAGGTACCCGGATGTTAGTTACCGTATACCTGCTGTCAGTGTTCACCTAGCAGTAAGTAGGTACCTGGATGTTAGTTACCGTATACCTGCTGTCAGTGTTCACCTAGCAGTAAGTAGGTACCTGGGTGTTAGTTACCGTATACCTGCTGTCAGTGTTCACATAGCAGTAAGTAGGTACCTGGATGTTAGTTACCGTATACCTGCTGTCAGTGCTCACCTAGCAGTAAGCAGGTACCTGGGTGTTAGTTACCTTACACCTGCTGTCAGTGTTCACCTAGCAGTAAGTAGGTACCTGGGTGTTAGTCACCTTACACCTGCTGTCAGTGTTCACCTAGCAGTAAGTAGATACCTGGGTGTTAGTTACCTTACACCTGCTGTCACTGTTCACCTAGCAGTAGGTAGGTACCTGGGTGTTAGCCACCTTACACCTGCTGTCAGTGTTCGCCTAGCAGTAAGTAGGAACCTGGGTGTTAGTTACCTTACACCTGCTGTCACTGTTCACCTAGCACTAAGTAGGTACCTGGGTGTTAGCCACCTTACACCTACTGTCACTGTTCACCTAGCAGTAAGTAGGTACCTGGGTGTTAGTTACCTTACACCTACTGTCACTGTTCACCTAGCACTAAGTAGGTACCTGGGTGTTAGCCACCTTACACCTGCTGTCAGTGTTCACCTAGCAGTAAGTAGGTACCTGTGTGTTAGCCACCTTACACCTGCTGTCAGTGTTCACCTAGCAGTAAGTAGGTACCTGGATGTTAGTTACCTTACACCTGCTGTCAGTGTTCACCTAGCACTAAGTAGGTACCTGTGTGTTAGCCACCTTACACCTGCTGTCAGTGTTCACCTAGCACTAAGTAGGTACCTGGGTGTTAGCCACCTTACACCTGCTGTCAGTGTTCACCTAGCAGTAAGTAGGTTCCTGGATGTTAGTTACCTTACACCTGCTGCCAGTGTTCACCTCGCAGTAAGTAGGTACCTGGGTGTTAGTTACCTTACACCTGCTGTCACTGTTCACCTAGCAGTAAGCAGGTACCTGGATGTTAGTTACCGTATACCTGCTGTCAGTGTTCACCTAGCAGTAAGTAGGTACCTGGGTGTTAGTTACCTTACACCTACTGTCAGTGTTCACCTAGCAGTAAGTAGGTACCTGGATGTTAGTTACCGTATACCTGCTGGCAGTGTTCACCTAGCAGTAAGTAGGTACCTGGATGTTAGTTTCCGTATACCTGCTGTCAGTGTTCACCTAGCAGTAAGTAGGTACCTGGGTGTTAGTTACAGTATACCTGCTGTCAGTGTTCACCTAGCAGTAAGTAGGTACCTGGATGTTAGTTACCGTATACCTGTTGTCAGTGTTCACCTAGCAGTAAGCAGGTACCTGGGTGTTAGTTACCTTACACCTGCTGTCAGTGTTCACCTAGCAGTAAGTAGGTACCTGGGTGTTAGTCACCTTACACCTGCTGTCAGTGTTCACCTAGCACTAAGTAGGTGCCTGGGTGTTAGCCACCTTACACCTGCTGTCAGTGTTCGCCTAGCAGTAAGTAGGTACCTGGGTGTTAGTTACCTTACACCTGCTGTCAGTGTTCACCTAGCACTAAGTAGGTACCTGGGTGTTAGCCACCTTACACCTGCTGTCACTGTTCACCTAGCACTAAGTAGGTACCTGGGTGTTAGCCACCTTACACCTGCTGTCACTGTTCACCTAACAGTAAGCAGGTACCTGGGTGTTAGTTACCTTACACCTGCTGTCACTGGTCACCTAGCACTAAGTAGGTACCTGGGTGTTAGTTACCTTACACCTGCTGTCAGTGTTCACCTAGCAGTAAGTAGGTACCTGGGTGTTAGTTACCTTACACCTGCTGTCAGTGTTCACCTAGCAGTAAGTAGGTACCTGGGTGTTAGTTACCTTACACCTGCTGTCAGTGTTTACCTAGCAGTAAGTAGGTACCTGTGTGTTAGCCACCTTACACCTGCTGTCAGTGTTCACCTAGCAGTAAGTAGGTACCTGGGTGTTAGTTACCTTACACCTGCTGTCAGTGTTCACCTAGCAGTAAGTAGGTACCTGTGTGTTAGCCACCTTACACCTGCTGCCAGTGTTCACCTAGCAGTAAGTAGGTACCTGGGTGTTAGTTACCTTACACCTGCTGTCAGTGTTCACCTAGCAGTAAGTAGATACCTGGGTGTTAGTTACCTTACACCTGCTGTCAGTGTTCACCTAGCAGTAAGTAGATACCTGAGTGTTAGTCACCATACACCTGCTGTCACTGTTCACCTAGCAATAAGTAGGTACCTGGATGTCAGTCACCTTACACCTTCTGACGATTTTCTCTCTCTCCCCAGAATGGAGGACCTGTTGACGTGTACTGTTTGCTGTGAACAGTACCATGAACGGGTTAGACACCCGGTGCTCCTGCCCCGTTGTGGCCACTCATTCTGTCGACCCTGTGTGGCCTTCCTGGTCAAAAATGGCTGTGTGATTTGTCCAAGTTGTCGTATGGACCAGAGGGTCGAGACGGCCGATCATTTGCCCACTGAATTCAGCCTTTTGGCCATTACTTCCGTCCAGCAGGTGACCAAGGTGAGTGGGGAGGTGGTGATGGGTTGGGCCCCATTTCCTGGAATGGGTTATAGGGGGATTTATACCTATTTCTACAGGAATGGGTGTGTGATCTGTCCCATTTGTCGTATGGACAAATTGAATTCAGATTTCTGGCCATTACTTCCGTCCAACAGGTGACCAAGATTGGTAATGGGTAGGTGGGAGGTGGGTCCCATTTCCTGGAATGGGTTTTAGGGGGATTTATACCTATTTCTACAGGAATGGGTGTGTGATCTGTCCCATTTGTCGAATGAACCAATTGAATTCAGATTTCTGGCCATTATTTCCGTCCAGCAGGTGACCAAAGGTGAGTGAAAATGGTAATGGGTAGGTGGGCCCATTTCTCGGAATGGGTTTTAGGGGGGATTATGTCTATTACCACGGCGCTGTTCATGAGAGAGATGTGTGTGCAGGTGTGTCTCCGCCCATTCCTTATAGAGAACAAGATGCCAGCCCGCCCCATTCCTCAGCGCACCCATACCCTAGTCCGCCCATTATTCAGCTCGCCCATTCCCTTGTCCACCCCTTCTCTAGTCCAACCATTATTCAGTTCATCCATTCCCTAGTCCAACTATTCCTCAGTCCTCAGTCTACTCATTCCCTAGTCCATCCATTCCCTGGGTTACCCATTCCCTAGTCAATGCATTCGCTAGTTCAACCATTCTCTAGTTCACCCATTACCTAGTCAACCCATTACCTAGTCCACCCATATTTCAGCTCACCCATTCTCTAGTCAGTACATTCCCTATCTCACCCATTCCCTAGTGTACCTATTCCCTAGTCTACCCATTCTCTAGTCCTCCCATTCCCTAGTCCACTCATTCCCTATTGCACCCATTCCCTTGTCCACCCATTTCCTAGTCAACCCAGTCCTAGTCCATCCATTCCCTGGTCCATCCATTCCCTAGTGCACCCATTCCCTAGTGCACCTACCCTAGTGCACCCATTCCCTAGCCCACCCATTCCTTAGTCCACCCATTCCCTAGCCCACCCATTCCCTAGTCCACCCATTCCCTAGCCCACCCTTCCCTAGCCCACTCATTCCCTCGCCCGCGCATTTCCTAGCCCACCCATCCCCTAGCCCACCCATTTACTAGCCCACCCATTCCCTAGCCCACCCATTCCCTAGCCCACCCATTCCCTAGCCCACCCATTCCCTAGCCCACTCATTCCCTAGCCCACCCATTCCCTAGCCCACCCATTCCCTAGCCCACCCATTCCCTAGTCCACCCATTCCCTATCCCACCCATTCCCTAGCCCACCCATTCCCTAGCCCACCCATTCCCTAGCCCACCCATTCCCTAGCCCACTCATTCCCTAGCCCACCCATTCCCTAGTCCACCCATTCCTCAGACCACTCTAACAAATCATCCAGAACACAAGTGTAGTTGTGTTAGGTATGTGTGTGTCATCTACACTTTGAGACTTCCCTGGACGTCTTGAAGATACCGTGGCAGCAGCAGTGGTGGGCCCCTACATTTTGGGGGCCTTGAAGCTTGTGGATTGTTATGGGGGCCCCTTTGCAACCCCTTCTCATACAGTAGACCCCTAATTTTGAAGCAATGTGGAGCAAAGTTGCTTCTGGGGCCCCTCCGGGACTAGGGGCCCCACGGCAGCAGTGGGGGACCTACATTTTTGGGCCCTGAAGCTTGTGGAATGTTATGGGGCCCCTTTGCAAACCCTTCTCATACAGTAGACCCCTAATTTTGAAGAAATGTGGACTGAAGTCGCTTCTGGGGCTCCCTCAAGGAGAAGGGGCCCTCAAGCTTAATAGGGGCCGTTCATGGCAGATCCGCCCGTGGGCAGCAGTGTGGGCTGTGGCACCTTGCATAACAATTGATGCCCCTGCAGGTGTGCATTGATGACATGCCTCTCACATTCCAGCGTCACCCTCAAGCATTTAGATAGAATGACGGTGGAATGTAGCTTTGGAAACTGCTGCTCAGGGCAGGATAATGGTAGATTTTAGCTGATTTAGCTGGGAAAATAGGAGTCAGGATAAAGGATACATAGTGTGTGTGTGTGTATGTTCAATATTAAGGGACTGATCCCCCCAAATTCCTATTTATAAGCTTCCACTGTTACCAACAGATACATCAAGACTGAGGGACTGACCCCGCTCAGACTGCTACTCCAAGCCTGCAACAGCAGTCTACAAGCCTGCAACAGCAGTCTACAAGCCTGCTACAGCAGTCTACAAGCCTGCTACAGCAGTCTACAAGCCTGCAACAGCAGTCTACAAGCCTGCTACAGCAGTCTACAAGCCTGCTACAGCAGTCTACAAGCCTGCAACAGCAGTCTACAAGCCTGCTACAGCAGTCTACAAGCCTGCTACAGCAGTCTACAAGCCTGCTACAGCAGTCTACAAGCCTGCAACAGCAGTCTACAAGCCTGCTACAGCAGTCTACAAGCCTGCTACAGCAGTCTACAAGCCTGCAACAGCAGTCTACAAGCCTGCTACAGCAGTCTACAAGCCTGCTACAGCAGTCTACAAGCCTGCAACAGCAGTCTACAAGCCTGAAACAGCAGTCTACAAGCCTGCTACAGCAGTCTACAAACCTGCTACAGCAGTCTACAAGCCTGCATCAGCAGTCTACAAACCTGCTACAGCAGTCTACAAGCCTGCACTCCAAGGCTTGACGTCTTCTCACACTGGCTTAAGAAACCCATTTCTTGACAATCCAGGAAGCCTGTGGTTCAACCCAGAACCCAGAGGTTCTCCTGGGCCCACCCCTTGGTGGATGTAGGGGTCGAGTCGCAGCTCCTGGCCCCTGTGGTAAGGTCAAGACGATAATTTTCAGTGAGATGCCCTTGGTTAACGAGTCAACCAGCCGCTTCTTTCGTTAACGAGGCTACGGAAGCTTAATTTCGCTAACGAGTCAACCAGCCGCTTCTTTCGTTGACACATCAATTAGAGATTAATTTCTCTAACGAATCAACGCCCTCTTTATTTCGCTAACGAATCAACGCCCTCTTTATTTTGCTAACGAATCAACGCCCTCTTTATTTCGCTAACGAATGAACGCCCTCTTTATTTCGCTAACGAATCAACGCCCTCTTTATTTCGCTAACGAATCAACGACCTCTTTATTTCGCTAACGAATCAACGCCCTCTTTATTTCGCTAACGAATCAACGCCCTCTTTATTTCGCTATCTTAAAAATTTATTTAACATCTTGCAACAACGAATGCGTGTGTGTGTGTTAATGGAATTTTGGTTCAAGGGGAGAGTGGCTGCAGTTCCCTGGATGAAGAGCCCTGACTGAGAGATATCTCTCCCACAGATGGAGACGTGTGAGAGACATCAGGTCAAGTTATCTTTCTGGTGCAAGACGTGTGAGGAAGCAACGTGTGGTGAGTGTCTCTTCGAGGACCATCCCACTCACTCACACTGTGTTCTCAAGGCTGCCACGTACGTAATGAGTTAGAGCTATCTCTCTGTCTCTCTCACTCTGTTTCTCTCTCTCTCCCTGCCTCTCGCTGGCTCTTTTCCTGTCTCTCATTGTGTCTGAAGGGGAATTGTTGATAGTCTTAACAAGGTTAAGTGATTAGTGCATTGTAATTCTCTCTGTCTCTCTCTCACTTTGTCTGTCTGTCTGTCTGTCTGTCTGTCTGTCTCTCTCTCTCTCTCTCTCTCTCTCTCTCTCTCTCTCTCTCTCTCACTCACAACAATACGTTGATCTCAAGACAAACATTCGTGTTTGAAATTCAATGGTAAACATAGCATCCTACCCCACAG